ACCTTCTCAAGGTAAGCTAGGTTAGCCTTCTTGTGTGAGCTTTTCAAGTGCACTTTAAGGTTTGTGGGATTTTTTTCCCTTTAGAAATGTCCCTCATAATTTGTCTCTTTCCACTACAAGACACTTGCCAGTTTTTCCCTGGCCCAGGCAAGCAAGGGACGTAATGGGCAACAGCTGATCGCCCGGAGGGTGGAGAGAAGCCTCGAAAATATTTCCAGGTTTCATCCATAGATTCCATAGTTGATTTAATCCGAAGTAAAGTGTGGCGATCGTAAACATAGGTAGCTGTAATCTTATCCACAGACAGCAGCAAAATGGGTAATGCAACATAAAACAGGAGAACACAGAGTTTGACAGCGGTATAAAAGATATAAAACAAAGTTCTAAGCTAATCGACCTTAGGGTTCTCCTTTTTTTTAAAAAAAGAATCGATAAGAGAATCGATAAAGAATCGAATCGTTAAACAGAATCGAAAATGGAATCGGAATCGTGAAAATCTTATCAATACCCATCCCTATTGACCACTTTACAAGGATGGGTTCCCACTTTCTACCACCTAAGAAAAACATGCAGCCTGCCATTGAAACAATTGCTCACAAGGTCATTCTGCAGTAGCCAAAGTATGTAATGGATTGCTTCTCCACACCCATGGCATGTCTCTCTTAGATGCATGTACAAGTTCACAGCCTGATATGGGTCTGTTGCTGTAGTTAGATGGGACTCAGTTATAAGGCTATTGCACAGTTCATATACATCTGGATCACATAGTTTGGTCAGTTGAAAAAACACACTCGTTTTTACACAGTTCAACATGTTCTTCAGTGAGGCAAAGGAAGTCTCTTGTCCATAGAGCCCAGGTAATGCATTAGATTAGGCCGACCACTGGGGATATTGATATTTTTCGATGGCATGATGGAGTGTGTATTCCAAACCTGTGCAGGGTCATCCAGCTGATCCTGTTAAAAAGAATACATAAATTTAACAAATGTGCATACATGCCTACCTAAAAAAAAATAGTAGCCTAAATTATGGTATTTACACAGTTTTCATTTCATTTACTCCCTGCTCCTCTCCACCTCTTCTCCCTCTCTCGTCTTTCTTCCTGCAAGCCTCTCCGTTCCCTCAACCTGGCCCTGCTCTCATCTCTCACTATACTTTATCTACTCCCACTCTCTCACTTCCTACGTTCCCTTTATCTCTCACTCACACATGCATGCTGGGTCTACTGCCAAGCACCATGTTAATGTTTTTATAATTTAGTCCAAGCTCAAAATAAAAATCTATGAATCTCTAACATGGGTGTGTGGCCTCCATCGCTGTGGTTGTTTCTAAGTTTTCAATTCTGACCTGGAGGTGCATGAACTCAAAACTTTTGCGGGATCTCGCAAAGTACATCTTCATATTTTTTTTTCTCCAATGTGCCTTGCAGGGCTCTGTATCTTTGTGGAAATAAAGAATTGTCTCCTTCAAAACTGAACAGAAAAAAGTTTGACTTCTGTTCTGGACTCGTGTGTTCTGGACACGTGTTCTGGACATGTGCAACAATGCCCGTTGCATTTTACAGTGGTAAGACCACAGCAGTAATACTTCCTTATTCTTCTGAATTTTTAGTTTTACATTGCAGAACTATTACATTGCAGAACATTTTGCACACGGTAGTCAGTGCTGGCTTTATTGTGTAAAAAAGTCAATTAAGAGTGGAGAAAGACACTACAGTTTTTGGCTGCCATTTGTCAGACCTAGGAATAAATTCATTTAAAATCCTTATCCAATTCAGGAGCTTTAGCTTATCCTAGTTGTCATAGTTCAAGAGGCAGGGTACAAAATACTAAATACACTTCAACTGTGAGAGACAGAATGTGAAAAAAAAAATCCATGAATCCACATGGTAGGATTTGTAAAGAATTTATTTATAAATTAGTTTGGAAAATAAGTATTTGGTCACCTCAAACATGGAAAATCTCTGGCTCTCACAGACCTGTAACGTCTTCTGTAAGACGCTTTTCTGTCCCCCACTCGTTACCTGTATGAATGGCACCTGTTTGAACTCATCATCTGTATAAAAGACACCTGTCCACAGCCTCAAACAGTCAGACTCCAAACTCTGCCATGGCCAAGACCAAAGAGCTTTCGAAGGACACCAGGAAAAGTATTGTAGACCTGCACCAGACTGGGAAGAGTGAATCTACAATAGGCAAGCAGCTTGGTGTGAAAAAATCAACTGTGGGAGCAATCATCAGAAAATGGAAGACATACAAGACCACTGATAATCTCCCTCGATCTGGGGCTCCACGCAAGATCTCATCCCGTGGGGTCAAAATGATCATGAGAACGGTGAGCAAAGATCCCAGAACCACACGGGGGGACCTGGTGAATGACCTGCAGAGAGCCGGGACCAAAGTAACAAAGGTCACCATCAGTAACACACTACAACGGCAGGGAATCAAATCCCGCAGTGCCAGACGTGTTCCGCTGCTGAAGCCAGTGCATGTCCAGGCCCGTCTGAAGTTTGCCAGAGAGCACATGGATGATACAGCAGAGGATTGGGAGAATGTCATGTGGTCAGATGAAACCAAAGTAGAACTTTTTGGTATAAACTCAACTCGTCGTGTTTGGAGGAAGACGGATACTGAGTTGCATCCCAAGAACACCATACCTACTGTGAAGCATGGGGGTGGAAACATCATGCTATGGGGCTGTTTTTCTGCCAAGGGGACAGGACGACTGATCTGTGTTAAGGACAGAATGAATGGGGCCATGTATCGTGAGATTTTGAGCCAAAACCTCCTTCCATCAGTGAGAACTTGATGAAACGAGGCTGGGTCTTCCAAAACACACCGCCCGGGCAACAAAGGAGTGGCTCCGTAAGAAGCACTTGAATGTCCTGGAGTGGCCTAGCCAGTCTCCAGACCTCAACCCCATAGAAAATCTGTGGCGGGAGTTGAAAGTCCATGTTGCTCGGCGACAGCCCCAAAACATCACTGCTCTCGAGAAGATCTGCATGGAGGAATGGGCCAAAATACCAGCTACTGTGTGTGCAAACCTGGTAAAGACCTATAGTAAACGTTTGACCTCTGTTATTGCCAACAAAGGTTATGTTACAAAGTATTGAGTTGTATTTTTGTTATTGACCAAATACTTATTTTCCACCCTGATTTACGAATAAATTCTTTACAAATCCTACCATGTGGATTCATGGATTTTTTTTTCACATTCTGTCTCTCACAGTTGAAGTGTACCTCTGGTGCAAATTACTGACCTCTGTCATCATTTTAGGTGGGGGAACTTGTACAATCGGTGGCTGACTAAATACTTTTTTGCCCCACCGTATTATAACTGTGTCTACTGCCAAGCACCATGTTAATGTTTTTATAATTTAGTCCAAGCTCAAAATAAAAATCTATGAATCTCTCACATGGGTGTGTGGCCTCCATCGCTGTGGTTGTTTCTAAGTTTTCAATTCTGACCTGGAGGTGCATGAACTCAAAACTTTTGCGGGATCTCGCAAAGTACATCTTCATATTTTTTTCTCCAATGTGCCTTGCAGGGCTCTGTATCTTTGTGGAAATAAAGAATTGTCTCCTTCAAAACTGAACAGAAAAAAGTTTGACTTCTGTTCTGGACTCGTGTGTTCTGGACATGTGCAACAATGCCCGTTGCACAAGTCTTGTGAACCAGTTTACAGTGGTAAGACCACAGCAGTAATACTTCCTTATTCTTCTGAATTTTTAGTTTTACATTGCAGAACTATTACATTGCAGAACATTTTGCACACGGTAGTCAGTGCTGGCTTTATTGTGTAAGAAAGTCAACTAAGAGTGGAGAAAGACACTACAGTTTTTGGCTGCCATTTGTCAAACCTAGGAATAAATTCATTTAAAATCCTTCTTATCCAATCCAGGAGCTTTAGCTTATCCTAGTTGTCATAGTTCAAGAGGCAGGGTACAAAATACTAAATACATTGCAGGCCAAAATCATTTATTATTTTATGTAAATTGTTTTTTATGTTCAACTTGGTTTCTACAGGCCCTATAGAAATGTGGAAATTACTAACTTAAAACCACATACACATAAAAAATGACATAAAACATTTGTTTGTGTGTGTGTGTGTGGCACTGGCACTGCAGTATTATAATAGTAATAATAATAAATATTAATATTATTGTCATTCAGTGAGAGGGAAAGAACATATTACTAACAAAAAATGGTCATAGTAATTATGCTATGCAAGTACTTCACAGCTACACATGTCACACAAATATATAGCACAGTAGTTTCTAAATTACAACTTTCTTTTTTTTAAACCATATTATAAGAGTAAAAGCTGATTTTCACCTTTTTCACTGAGGGTCATGCTCAGTTATGTGTGTGTGTGCGCGAGTCTGTCTGTGGTGCTTGTTGAATTAACCTACTCTTACTTTATTTGCTATAGTCTTTTTAAATTAATTTTCTGAGTTTGCTAATTCAGTTTGTGACACTGTCACTGGTGCTCTAGTGAGGAACTTCTTATTTTGCCCTTTTAGTTTTGGTCTGCAGTAATTTATTGATTTTTATAATCTAAAAGCCATGACCTGCTTGGTGTTATTTGTTGTTCTGGTGTTATTCCTCAGGACTGTGTATCATCTGACCTTTACAAATCTGTTTAATGGAGACGATTTGTCCATTTCTGATGATGAATGAACTGGTACTTGTATTGAAACTTTCTACTCAATTTAAGCATTCACAGTGCTTTCTAGTACTAATCTCTACAAATAAATTAATCACACACATTTTCATACATTGTTTTACTTACACTTCAGCAAAATTATATTTTTATACAAACATGAAAAGCAGTTTGATTTCGTATGACTATCACATGTATATACGGCTTAATTAAGAACATATCAAGTTTGAGTGGTTGCATAGATGCACAAACCACTGAAATATGCAACTTCCTCTGAATTTAAAAGGAGAATAAACTGAAACCAGTGAGACTTTCACACTTCACTCATCCTGTGCTGCAGAGCTGAGCTCTCCAAAACAATCCAAATCCATGTATGCAATGGAGGCAATATATGCAAATGATGAATGCGTTAAACCTGACAACCCAACACCTTCAACAAATTACACAGGTAAAAGGGAAGTGATAGAGCAAGGAGGTTATAACATCTCTTATTACTACTGAACATTTGTTTGGGTAACTTGTTTGTTTGTTTGTTTTTCTTTTTGTCTTCTTTTCAGGTCAGAGGAGCTCTAGGAGAAGTTTCTATTTGGGTGTTATTTTCTCCCTGAGCCTGCTCACTGTTTTATTGCTGGTTGGACTTATCACACTTAGTTTCTTCTGTGAGTTGGATTTTTCATGGATAGTTGTCCTACTGATCATCAGTCACCATGTGAATAAAATTTGGAATTCAATGTGGAATTTTTGATTCTTCCATTTCAAGATCCTCTTGAAATTATCTTGAAGACGACAAGATCACAGCAACAATAACTTGTACAAGCATAAAACTGGTTTACATAATTAATATGTTTCACAAATTACAGTCAGAATTTTAAAAAAATTTTTATTTAGATCTTTTGTGCCTCAGTCAATGAAAGCATCAATGTTATTTCTTTTTATTTCAGACCACAATTCAGCTGAACATGTGTCGGCACAGGCTGAGGAGCGAGACCTTCTGAATAAAAACATCTCTGTGGTCAGTAACCAACTTTCTTCCATGACTGAGGAGCGAGATCTGCTGACTAAAAAGACTGAAGAGCTTAAAAAGCAGAGTGAGTCCTTGTGTGAGCTGTTGTGTCTCTAAAAGGTTTTTCTCAGAAATGTAGTGATTCATTTTCCAAACAAATGATGTAATCATTTTCTTCTGACTTAACACATTTTTAAAATCAAATTTCAGTCATTAGGAAAATATCATATGAACCATTATCCGCATCACTGCTTGTCACTATAAAGCTGCAGTGCAGCAGTGTACCTTATGCTTGTCACAAATTTACATTTACAAATCTGAATGGTACTAAAATAATTTAAGGGCTATATTTCATCGACACATATGTGAAATGTATTTAATGGTGTTTAGTGACTTATAAAATGATTGAATCCACAACAAGTATCCTTAATGTATTTTCATTAAGGAAGTTGAAAAGGAAGCTGATAGCCCTTACACTGACACTACATATTCTTATTTTTATCTCAATATCCTTTAAATCTTTTTTTAACTGTTATTTTACTTGTTTCATCTGTGGTCATGTTTGATTCAGTTGTGATGCATCTTTTCACCGAGACATCACTTTCTGATCTACAGGTTTGTTTAGAGATTCACAAATCACTGAGTCTCTAAACACAACCTTCTATCAGTTTCACCCAGTTATTAGAAGTTAGGAGCAGTTACTGTAGCTGCATTTTGCATATTGCGTAAAACTTAAGTAGATTGCAGTTTTGTGGTTACTTTAATTTTTTTACTTTTACTCTGGAAAAGACAGCAAAAATAGTGAGATGTTAACCTGCAGAAGACTGATAATAACAGACCTTCTTCACAGCCATTCAACAAAACAAAACTTTAAAAGATTTAATTTAATGATATGAATAATAATAATAATAATAATATTATTATTATTATTATTATTATTATTATTGTTGTAATAATAATAATAATAATTATTATTATTATTATTATTATTATTTTATAATAATAATAATAATAATCTTTTTTCTTTCAAGATATTTGTCTGACATGGAAAACTGTTTTCTTCTGCACACATCAAATTCAATATTTCACCTTCTAATTCTCAGAGAGGCATTTAAAGCACTTTTGGATTGGCCTCACTTTTCAGAGACGTCCCTTCTTTATTTACAGTTTATGGTTGTGCCAAAGTTCTAATTTGGATTTGAAATGATTGATATTGATTGATATTGATATTGACACAGTATAACATTTAACTTTTCAAAATGTGTTTTTTGTGAAACTGTATTTATTGTATTGAGTCATGGGTTGTTGTTGTTTTTGTTTGGTTGCTGTAATACACTGATCACCCAACAAGAGAAATATAATGTAGTGATAGTAAATATAAAGATATATAATAGATATATGTAATATATAATCAATATAGAAGAAAAGGAAAAAAGTATTTTTTATATATATTAATACAACTGAATTAATATCTAATTTATTTATATTTGATATTAATCTAAATATGCAAGATAATGCTTGGAAAAACTTGAAATAAATATTTTCTAGTACACCCCATGTCCCCCCCACCTTAGATTCACCCTTAGATTAGTAGGATGATTTAAGCAATCGACCTAACCATCCTATCAGGCTAAGCTAGCAGTTCATCTGCATATTTTAACTTTATTACCTTTATTAGTCGGATGTAGCTTTATTGCAGATTTTCACTGTGTAAACCGAATAAGTCAGATGAGAACAGCTGCAAATAATTTTTTTTCATGGTGGAGTTTGTTGAACAGCTGGCTTCATTAAGGACTCCTGGCAGGTTCCCAGTAAAGTTTTAGCCACAAGTGCTGCTGTTTTGGATGCAACAAACCAAGACCAAACATGCTTTCTTCACTCTGCCTGAGCTCACCCTCTTCATTAAGGTGGGGGGAGGCTAACATAAAACCATGTATTTAGCTAACTCTGACGTGAATAGAAGATGCTTTTGTAACGTCATTTTCAGATTTAAAGTCAAATAATATAAAAAAAACTCTGTTCAATTTTTTTTTCTTTTGTAGGCTAGTAAAAAAAATGCACAAGGCAAATATCAGAACACTGATATGCTCTCTTTTCTTCATTGAAACTCCCACATGCTCCTCTAAAGGATTACAACAAAACATTTACTAGAAAACTAAAGCACACAGACACAAAAACACGTACACAAAAACACCTCATCCAGGAGATAAAATACTTTTTGCTTGTTGCTTGTTTGTTTTTTGCATCCTAATAATGTTTAAAACCTTGGAATGATTAGTTTAGGCTGTATTATTTCATTGGGCACTAATTTTTGCATCTAAGAATTTTTTTAATATGGCCTGTAAATACATGAAAGAGTTGCAACAGCAATTTCTAAACTATAAACTGATGATGGGTTCATTTTAAAAGACCTGTGATTTTTTTCTTTTGAACATTTATTATTGCCCATTAATAAGAAAAAAAGTACTTTTATCTGATTACTGAATGGAATAACTGATTATTAAAATATTGGTTGCAGTACAAAAACTGTCACCATAGTAAATATACACAGGCAAACAAATATAAAAGTCAAGAGGTGAATAAACTATAGATAAATCTAATTAAACAGATCAAATGAGCATTGTTGTAAGGTTCATTAAATATTTTTCATTAACCTTACTGAAATATTACTTGTTTTTAATTTCTTCTAGTTATACAATGTCCTGCAGGATGGAGTAGTTTCAGCTGTAGCTGCTATCTCCTCTCTGAAAGCTCTGATTCCTGGAATGCAGCCAGAATGGACTGCAGAGCCAGAGGAGGAGATCTGGTGGTTATTGACAGCTCTGAAGAACAGGTACAGTGTTTATGTATATGAAAGGCCAGGAGTGACAAAATGAATTAATTAAACACACCATTAAATAATTAATTAAATGTTTCATTAATTAATTAAAATTTGAATTAATTAATAAATAAATATTTAAGTAATTAATTACATGCCTATTCATCTATTTAAAACATTTAATAAATTATTTAATGATGTATTTTTTTAATTCATTTTGGGACTCCTGATCCTCACCCGTAATTATATATAAATAAGGATTTCGCTTACAACTGGGACCACTGTTACCCTCACCCTCCATCATCTTCCCGAGCTATTTCTCGAGCTTCTCGTGTTCCTTCTTCCTGATATTGCTGTCATTTGGAACCGCTACATCGATCGCTACGGCCATCTTCTTCCGTTTGTCTACCACCACTATGTCCGGTTGGTTAGCCACCACCATTTTGTCCGTCTGTATCTGGAAGTCCCACAGGATCTCAGCTCGGTCATTCTCCACCACCCTTGGGGGCGTCTCACATTTTGACCTCGGGACTTCCAGGTTGTACTCGGCACAGATGTTCCTGTACACTATGCCGGCCACTTGGTTATGGCGTTCCATGTATGCCTTGCCTGCTAGCATCTTGCACCCTGCTGTTATGTGCTGGATTGTCTCTGGGGCATCTTTACATAGCCGGCACCTGAGGCCTTGCCTGGTGTGATAGACCCCAATCTCTGTGGATCTTGTGCTCAGAGCTTGTTCCTGTGCTGCCATGATTAGAGCCTCCGTGCTGTTTTTCAGTCCAGCTTTGTCCAGCCAATGGCAGCATTTCTGGATATCAGCCACCTCCTCTATCTGCCAGTGGTACATGCCATGGGGGGGCCTGTCCTTCCATAATGGTTCCTCGCCTTCCTTCTCTTCCTTGGGTTTCTGCTGCCTGAGGTATTCACTCTACACGCTGTCAGTTGGGGCCATCTTATCCTATTACTAAAATACATTTTCTGTTTTTCTTTTCTTATTTGGTGAATAGTTTTACTATAAAAAAATGAAAATTTTTCTTAACGTTAACACAACTAGAATAAAGTTAAAAAACCATGATGAATATGGTAATTTTACATTACATTTGCTGAATTAAAGTGTATCAGCAAAATCTCTTTAAATTAGTGATGTGCGGATCGATCCTGAAATATCGATTCCTCCGATACCAGTCATTTATGTTCTAGAATCGATTCTCACATTAAAATATCGATATCTTTTAGTAATTTAGGGTAAATTTGTAGTTTATCATTAACGGCAACACAGTGGAAAGAAACTATAACATTCGGATTTTCTACATTCAAAGGAACTACTTCCTCTTCCGCCTTTCATAGTCATGTGCGAAATACGGCTGTATAAATGTCTCGCAGCCCCTTGGCGCGCGCACTCACAAAAATGACTGAGCGTAATTGTGCGGACGTATTCTACCTCCACAAACAGCTGAGACATGGTTTGCGATACATGTGGCAAAAACGTGCTCCAACAGTGAGGTGTTGCGGCTATACTTTCCCAACCTTGAGACCTCAGAATTAGGGAGACATTCAAAAGGGCTGTTGGGGGGGGGGGGGGGGGTGATAAATACATTTTATAGTGTTTATTTATTGGATAAAATACATTAAATGTCACCGTTATTATTGGCCGGCCCGGAAACAGTGGGGGTGTCGAAATTCAGAGGCTGCTTCCACCTGAGGACCCGCCCTTCGCGGTCTAAAGAAAGCCGGGTAGTACGTCATGAGTTCCCTCGGTGGAGTGAAACTGCCGTCTGCTCCTTGCTATCTAAAATATAACCGGGCGCTGGCGTAAACTCTCAACCGTCTCACACTTTGTTTAATTAGTTTTCTGTTTGATGTTTATTCAGCTGTGTGAAAACCCCGGAGGAACCCACCCGAGGTATTAATAAAGTTAAATTTAATTTAATCTAATCTAATAACTTTAATCTCAGCCAAACCGATTTAGTCACGAACAAATAAAACACTGAAAGAGCCAAACAATAACATTTTTAAGTTATTAAAGTGACTTATATATCATGTTTAACCCGAGTAGTGAAAGACCGCTGGGGTTTGAAGACGATGTGTCGATCGGCTCAGATATTTGAAGTTTACACAGCTACATTCTCACCTGAAAACATGTTAAAAGTTGGGGTTTTTTGACTGAAATAATAACTACAGCCTTGGCGCAGAAAGAGAAATAAGAGTAATATTAAAACTAAGTAGCTGCCGCCATTGTTGGAAACTGGAATTGGCTGGGCCGCGCTATGAATTCTGCGATATGGTTTTTCAATTTTGTTGTCCGGGTGGAAATTCAGGAGAATGGTGGCTCCGGGATTCTCCCGGAAAAATTGGGAGGGTTGGCATGTATGGTTGTGGCAACATCACTAACCTTGTCAAACACCTCAGATTAAATCATATCACAGAATATGAGGCGCGTATGTTGAGACGAACTGAAGAGGATGAGAGGGACAGGTGCTAGGGCGAGACAGACCTCTCTCATGGAGTCCTTTAGTGCTGCAGGCAGGCAAGGTGTTCAAATAGCGCACAACTTCAGTTTTTTTTATTTCTATATGATGAACTCTGCATTATTAAGTGATAAGAACAAGTAATCTGATGTCCTGTAAATTATTATGACGCTATAATTTGAGATACAATAAATGAAATACATTTTTGTATAAAGTATCGGTATCGGATCAGTATCGTCGATACCACCCTGAATATTACTTGGTATCGGATCGGAAAGGAAATCAGTGGTATCGCACATCACTACTTTAAATTTTTTAAGAACTTTTTTTTATGAAGGATAAAGGTTTTTCATAAAATAAAAAAAAACAGCCTGTTGATAGTGGGGCCAATTAGGAGCTGCCAGGTCAAAACCAACCCAAAACAGCTCACCCAAGGAGGGGCCTGCCGAGACTCTTAAAGGCACAGTACACACATATAAAAAACAATACAGACATACTGACACGCCCTGATTCTGTATATGTCCAGGGCTGTAACACCACTGAGAGAATATATTAACATCTTGATCACCTTGTTTAGACAGCATCAACAAGTTTTTGGTGACAATGATTTATTGATTGTTGAAAAAGATTTACAGCATGCTGCAGGTTAACGAGAGTGATTTACTATATTTGTTGTTGTGAAATTTATCTTCAGTAAAACAGTGCTGCTGTTTCATGCCCTTGTGTTTAGCTCTTTGTGCTTGGAGAGAAATCCTGCTTGTGCAAATCAACTCATTTTTGACTGATGGGGTGCAGGAGTGCAAAGGAGAAGGGTGGTCCTAATGTGATTGGTCACCTTGATGGACACTTCAGGTTACTGCATTAAATTCAGTTACACAGTGAAAGTGACATAGGCGCTGCTTGTGTCCGTATTTGTTTACATTTTGAAAGACAAAGCTTACCAAATTATCAACAGTTAATGTTTGATGCGTAGCAGTGGAAATGCAAACAACCATCACCATTACTTTACTGCTGAACAAATCCTACAAACCAGAGTAATCTAAGTTAAGTTCTGAAGTTGTGAAGCCATGTCACAGCTGTCCCATTAATCTATTGTACAGTATTACAAAGCTTTTATGACTGAAAAAACACATAACGAGGATCAGGAAAAGAAGTGTGCATCAGAACCTCTAAGGGCCAAATTTTTACTTTGGCCAAAATACAGACATTTAAACCTTTGAACAAAAAGTTGCTCAGTCTGCATCAAACACATGTAACTGCACATACCATAACTGGACAGGAGTGCTTCAAAACGTGTCCTAGAATTATATGTTTTTCAGTATTAAAGTGAAGCCAGTGATAAATCAGTACATTCACTGGTGCACAGTACATCCCATGTAGCACAATTAGATCATATGAATCAACTAACAAATTGTGGTACAGCTACAGTGAATTAGCTTCAGCGGTGGTGTCTAATTTAAAGACTCAACAATTATATAGAGTCTGGAGAATATTTTAATCCAGAACATTTGTACATTTTACTGTAATAAAAATTTATTTTTTACTGAATAAAAAAATTTAAAAAATAAAGTCAACTAAAATTGATGAAAATAGATGTGTGCTGGTCCAAGGCCCAAGACCAGATTGATGGCTCTACAACAGACATGACTAAAGTAAATCTGCTGGTTAGCTGCACAGATACAGTAAAACCAAAAAGCATAAAAACTTAACACAGCTAGCATGCAGCAGCTTCAAGGATTGTGCATAATTTACACAAAATGATAGCAACAGTGATAATGGTAAATGGTAAATGGCCTGTATTTGTATAGCGCTTTTCTAGTCCCTAAGGACCCCAAAGCGCTTTACACAACCTGTCATCCACCCATTCACACACACATTCACACACTGGTGATGGCAAGCTACATTGTAGCCACAGCCACCCTGGGGCGCACTGACAGAGGCGAGGCTGCCGGACACTGGCGCCACCGGGCCCTCTGACCACCACCAGTAGGCAACGGGTGAAGTGTCTTGCCCAAGGACACAACGACCGAGACTGTCCAAGCCGGGGCTCGAACCGGCAACCTTCCGATTACAAGGCGAACTCCCAACTCTTGAGCCACGATCGCCCCATAACTGTTTTATTAGACACTAGTTCAGATCAGACAAATGAGCTACTTACTAAAGACAGCCTGTAACATCCTCCTCTCCTGTCCACAGACTGACTGTTCAGAGAATCTTTAATATTATTTAGATGAATTACAGTGGCGCCTGAACCCACAGTCAGTGAAGCTCTGCAGCCAGATGTGTACAGCTGTGTTTGACTGATCAAAGTGCACTCAAAGGCAGCACTCACTTAACTGCACCTGTGAAATGAAATTATTTGCTATGATTATGCGTTTTCTCAGGTGCAACTTATGACATAAAATAATTTCATAGTTTATAGATAAAATTGTGGTTAAAATGTTTTCTCTTCATATTAAACAGACCTTTCTCTCTACGATCACCAAAAAAAATGCTTGGATTGGTTTAAATGACAAAGAACAGGAGGGAACATGGAAATGGGTAGATGGAACTCCACTGACTCTGGCGTAAGTCTTCACTTTGGTTCAGTTCATTACTTTACTAGTTCATTCATTACTATTAAATTTCCAGAATATTTCCAAATTTGTTAAACCCACAGATGAATGCAGATTGTTCAGCTTGCATAATGGTCAGTGGAGCCAAACGGCTTCCCACAGCTTAAAGATGCATGCAAATGACTTGTTTTTTGCCACACTGCGCCAAGGCTGTAGTTATTATTTCAGTCAAAATGTTTGTGCAGTCTGGGCTTGTGTGTTTGTCTGTATACCTTGTGTAGTAAAAGTAAAATGAAATATATATTATCTTTTATTTTTATCTGAAATTTGGTGATCTTGATGTACACTGTATTCATAAAAACTCAAAGCTGCTGATGGAAAATCAGTCTGACAAAACTCCTCACACAAACACCAAAGACAAAGGCTCATTTTCCCCTCAATAATAATAAAATAATGTTGTTGTCACTGACCTGTAGGTACTGGGCAACAACACAACCTGATAATGGTGGAAAACAGGACTGTGCTTATGTCACAAACAATGGGAGAAGGTCATGGGGTGATAGTTGGTGTTTGACAGCTAATCGTCAATGGATCTGCGAAAAAACACCAAACCCAAGTAAAATTTCTGATAATTTACTCATAAATGTTTTGAAGTTTTATTTTTATATGTCCTCTGTTTTATTTTATAATATGACATGTTTTGTTGTGGCTAAGATAAAAACTTGTGCTAGTGTTTAATGTTTTCATTGTTGTATTTGTTAAATGTTTTATTAGGTAGATTTTAAGTTTTATTTTGTATTATATTATGATTATGATTATTATTCTTATTATTGAGTCTCAAGTGAATAGACTGTGCAAAAATCTTTGTGATCAAGACTTTGGAGGATTTTAATTAATTAAACAGAGATCAAATAAGCATTGTTATACAGTTCAGAAAAAAAACATTCTTTAATTCAAATATTACTTTTCTGTAATTTCTTCCAGATAAAACATGTCCTGTAGGATGGAGCAAGTTCAGTCATAGATGCTATCTCATCTCTAAACGCTCTGATTCCTGGGATGCAGCCAGAATGGACTGCAGAGACAGAGGAGCAGATCTGGTGGTTATTAACAGCCCTGAAGAACAGGTACAGTGTTTATGTATGTATGTGTTATTGAGCTGTAAATACATTTTGAAATTCAAGCTCCTATTTTTAATGTAAATAGCTTTTTCTGGTTTTGAAAAACCAAGAAATGTTTCTATTAACCCTTCAACATTTTTATCAACACATATATAGACATTAAACACTGAAACAACTATAATTCTGTCACAGTGTGAGACAGACACTTATTAGATTAGACCCTTTTTATTTTTGCTGAATACTTTTAATTTCGAAGTATATATTTTTTGTAGTGTTAACACAATCAAAATAAAGTAAAAAAAAAAATCATGAGCATTTTAAAATGTACTAGAATGTCACAGAAATCTGTTTAGACAGAAATTGTATCGGGGAAACAAGACGTGGAGGAAGAATAAGGAAGTGTGGCAGTGAAGCAAGGATAAGGAAAACAGGATATGGCAAAGACGCCAACAAATGCAGGGGATGCAGCATACATTGCATGAGAGAGCATTTGCTATGAGGCATTGGCCAAGGGGCAGGAGTGACAGGAAGTCCTGTAACCTACAGAATACTATTGCACTATGTTTGGTTTCCACAGCACATGATTTTTGGTTGTGATATTCTATGTGTTTTAGTAAAATTATGTTTTAGTAAAAATGGGTATTAGATTTATGACATGAGCAGACAACTCTAAGAGTCCACTGACAGAATATATTAACATTTTGACCACGCTTGTTTAGACAATATGACAAAAAGAATTAAAGATTTGAATGAGTGAGTGTTTTGCTGTGTGAGCTGTCATTAAATGTATCTTCGGTGTTGCACGAAATGCGTTGTAGAAAATCCGAAGTTTTAATTAGTGCTGGCTTTGGATTTTTAAAAGAGACTTTTAGATACAATAACCTGCATAGACTAAAACTGGGGTTTTAAAGTAAAATAAAAAGCTTTTCCTTCATATTAAACAGAACTTCCTCTCTACGATCACCACAGAAGTTTGGATTGGTTTGAATGACAAAGAACAGGAGGGAATGTGGAAATGGGTAGATGGGACTCCACTGACTCTGACGTAAGTCTTCACTTTGATTCAGTTCATTCCTTTTACTGAATTTTCAAAAGATATTTGTTAAACACAATGGTGAGCTTACATGTCAGTGGGTGGATCCCAACTGCACGACCAAAAACTTAAAGATGTGTGCTAATAACTTGTTTTGGCCACAGGGGGTCATAAGAAGTTCTGAACTGGTGTGTTTTGCCATCTGCAGAATTTATGCAAGCGTGATTAAAAACCACCATGTCCTGAAAAGAAAAACCCCAAACCTTTTTTTTTTACTCATCCCCATTGTTATTTGAAATTTGATGATCCTAATGTAAAGTGTATTTATACCCCCCCCAAACATGCAGACACACACACAAACACGCACACAAGCAACAAACATCTTAAGTTCTTCTTAATAATAATAATAATAATAAGATAATGTTGTTGCTGACTTGCTAGGAACTGGGGAAGAGATCAGCCTGATAATGGTGGAGAAGAGGACTGTGTTCATCTCGGAGGGGATAAACAAAAATCTTGGAATGATCTTTGGTGTTCATCTTCTTATCAATGGATCTGTGAAAAAGTTCCATAAAACAACTGATTTCAGAAAGATGATCTATTCATAAATGTTTTGCAGTTTTATTTTTGACTACAATAAATACAATTCTGTATTTCAATTTTAGCCTAAAATGACTAGGTATTTGGTTCCTTGGTGTGGTCTTTGTTGTTGCTTTTTTAATATATATGTTATGTATTTTTGCCACCATGAGGCAAACTTAAAATCCTTTAATTTTCTGAAAAATCGACAGTGCACCTTATAATCCGTTTTGCCTTATGTATGAATTCTGGTTGTGCTTACTGACCTCGAACCGATTTTATGATGTACACGGTGCTCAAATATCTGTCAAAAAATGCTTTACTACAACTTTGGTAAGCTATGAAGCAGCACCGCTTGATGGATTATCTGAGCATTACGGCTACTGTAGTCAGGAGCCTCGAAGAGTAATCTGGGTCCAAAAACTCTATCCACTTCAGAGTTTTTGTTTTCCCAAAGTAAAACAAACACTGCAGAATCACTGAGAGTTAAAAACTGTCTAAATTCTTTCATCTTTAATAAAATGATCAGAGTTGCTGCTTTACCAGGTGTAACAATTAAGTTTAACATCCAGGCATCCATGAAAACAGGATTTATTAAATTTAACAGAGTTAGAAGTTAGCAGGAAGTTAGCTCGCTAATTTCCACCTAAACATGACATACCATGTTCTGACACAGAGATTTCTGAAATAATGAAAACATACAGCTCTGCTATCACTTCCAACATAAAAGAAGACAGAACAGCAGTACGTTTGTAGGGTTACTGAAGTTTGGCTAGCTGGTATATGTGCTACGTGATCGCTAGCGACACAGCTATGTTAGCATAACATAAGCAAAGTGAAGCTGGAGGATGAACTTTTTTTCCACTCGATAAAAGTTAACGTGAGGGTTCCCGATGGTTAGGGACAAATGAAATCGCATGGCAGGAAGCTGTAAACAGACTAAACTTCAGTCAGGAGAACAACTGAGATAATCCATCCACAATACGAGGTTACTCATTAATATACTGCAACAACATGGGAATAGAGCTGTGAGAGAATTCAACATTAATGAATCACTGGTACGGAAGTGGAGGAAGCAAGAAGAATGAGTCGAGTAAAGTTTGACTTATGTCACTGTTTTGTTTCGCTTATAATCTGGTCCGCCTTATGGCCTGAAAAATACGGTAAATCGTTAAGTTTTGGTTTCCTGTTTGGTATTTATTCTAGTGTTCGAATTAGCATTTTTATTCTTTTTTCTTGTGATATTATTTTTATTATCATATTGTTATTTAGTGTTTCTGTTTTTACTTGATCTGCTAGTAAGTGTCAGTTTGTGGTCTTGTCTTCTGTTTCAAGGCTCAAGTCTAGTTTTACTTCCTGCAGTGTTTATATTCATTTCTGTATTAATTATTTTCCTTATTTACTGTTTTACTTTGAAACAAATGTCTGTTTCTGACCTGCATGAGTTTTAATTCCTGCATCTGTTTTCCCCTGATTTGAACATTGTTTTCATCTGTGTTGTTACTGTAGGTGTCTCGTTTCTCCCCTGTTTGTCACTCCCTGATCAGTCATCGATAAATAGTCTTCTCTCCCTCTTACTCCTCATCACTTTGTTCACACTCTGTGACTGCATCTTAATAGTTCACTCCTACATCCTTTTCGTATCACTGTTCCTTGACCTTAGTGGAAAGTGTTATGTGGTAAAGGAAGTGTGTGAAGGAGAATTTAATAAAAAACTAAGGAAAAGAGAAGTGTGGAGGTCAGAGTCTTTAACCGTGTGATGTCTGCCATACTACTCAATGTCCAACTTCTTCTTATGGAGCACCAGAGAAAAGGCTGAAGAGTTATTTAGGATTTCAGTGACCAAAATAAAATTTCCTCCAGTCATCGTCAACCAAAAAAAAACTAGGAGTAAAAATTAATTTAATCCTAAAGGATGGCAGCACAACAGCAGAAATAGTAATGCAAACTGAGCTACTGTAAACCTTAAATACACGTTGATCTCTTAATATAGCTCATAATATTAACTTTGAGAGCTTATAAGACCCTATGTTTTCCACATAAGGAAACACCAAGGGATGGGAATTTATTTTTTTAAAAGTAATATAATACGTTACTTAATTCCTCCCAGGAGAAAGCAATTTGTTACACTACTTGTTAGATTACTTGTTTTTCTCTGTAAAATGGCCAGAAACACATCATCTCATAAGTACCATTTAACGATATAAACTTGGATGTTCCTGCCAACTAATTTCTTAGTCGACTAAATACAGAAAAAAAAAATTAGACCAGCCAACTAGTCTAAAACTAAGAATGTCAAGGTGCTGGGTGTGTGACCCAGAGTTTTGAATTTTTGGAATGTTTAGGAGTTTTCTAGTTTGTTATTCTTATATTATAGTTTTGTATTTTGTATTGTTGTCATTCGGGGGTCGTTATGATGTTAAGCTTAAGTTTGTGTTCCAGGTTTTGGTTCTTTGGGTTCTCAGTGTTCATACACCTTGTTCAGGGTCAATTTCAAGCACTTTTTAAGCACTTTCAAGGTCCACATTCAAGCTTTTACACACACGTACACACACACACACACACACACACACACACACACACACACACACACACACACACGTAACAGGAAAACTGCAGCAAACACCACAAAAGAATACACAGTAAGGCCAAATTACTGTTTTTCTCAAATGCTAAAACACATGTCACAAACGTTTCCACCATGTTTCCCAATGTCTAAACACAACACCCTTTTCTAAAGCTACATAAACACAACCACACCTTCCCACTGCAAAACTCAAACTTTCACACCAAAAGAGCAGCTCGAAGCTATCAAAAATGTAAACACTATACACATCATTACACACTACAGCAAAACAATTGAAAACACAATGCTCAATTTGTGACAATGTTCTTTGTTTCATAACTGCCAATGCATATTTTTAGAAACTATACAGTAACGGATCGTCATAGATCTCTGCAGAGAATTAGCCATTTAGATTTGTGAGTTTCATATGAAGAATATAAATCTCCTTGGTGGCTGCCTATCACAGCCTGGAGCCTGGGGCTCACTCGGGCCACTTTGGGGGTGGGGTGCCCTCGACCTCTCGGCCTGGGGCTCGGTCACTCTGGCACAGCTGGCTGCCGGCGGAGCTCACAGGCACGTCACTGCAACCCCCACCCCTGGCTTCTGCTCCGCGGCTGCTGAGTGACCCCTCATCTGGGACTCTCCTCAGCTCTTTCTGGGATAGTGGCGCAGCTGCCCCTCTGTTGGTCTTCCTTGGTCTCTTGTGTTCTGTGTGCTGTGGCTCCCCACACCCTCTAGCAGATCATTACATGAAGGAACCTTTTACAGTTTTTTCTGATTGCTTAAGCACATTTTTTGTAACTATTGGCTAATTTTGCAAAACTCTTCACACAAATAAGAAAACCTGTCACCCAATAATCAAAACATTGTAGTTCTCTTGCAAAAGCAAACACAGCTAGATTAACTCTTCACACCTTCGTAAAAATGGTGTTTCCGTATCAAACAGTACACACAAGCCATCATCTACTAAGCACACAATGCGCCAACTGCACACTGATGGTATGAATACAAAACACATCTGGCCTTTGCTTTCTCTGTGCACAAGGTAGGCTATGTCAGTTTGAGCTCATACTTCTGTCATAGATCCATAAGCATAGAGGGATCCAAACTTCAAGTACTGGTGTTTATTCAAACACATCAAAACAAACACAAGTGTTTATTTCCAAGTATAGGATTATTTGCAATCGCCATAATGACTATATGGGTTACTTGGTCTGCAGTGAACATGCTTCCTCTGCCCCCAGCATCTGGTCATCTAGCAATTCTGTAAAGTAACAATTTCAGTATTTTTACATCAATGGTATTGGTGTGTTTCTCATTGGCATATGGCAGTGCTACAAATCTTTGTGCGAAGTGACTGTACTAACCGATTCTCATTTCAAGATGTCCTTATGGTACTTGCTACAGTGTAGCGGCTCGAGTTAGGCTGGACCCGTTGGCCAGCTACCCTCAGGGTCATTCCACGGTTGATTACATGGTCCACTATTGTAGCTCTGATGTCATCAGCAATTCTCTTTCTTACTCTTCTTACCCTTCCTCTCCCCCCTCCTCATCTTCCTCTCCCCCCTCCTCGTCTTCCTCTTGCTCCTCCTTGTCCTTGTCGTCCTCTTCATCCTACTTCTTCACCTCCACGTCCTCTTCCTCGGCCTCCTCTACTTCTCACTCTTTCTGCTCCCTCCATTGTACTCCGCACACACAGCTTACCTGTATTATAGTGCTTAGGCTGATTGCAAAGTGAACTAATTATCTAAAAAAGTTTTCACATGTGAAAGTGTGCCAGACAGTTGGCAAATTAGTGTTAATGATAGCCATACATATGTATACTTTTGCTAGGAGTGTGTTGGAAATTTGGTAATTGGGTGTTGTGCAGTGAATTGTGCCTACAGTTTTGCAAAGTGTGTGTTACAAAATTGCAAACTGAGTGCAAAGCAGTTTTTGTGCTTTTAGTTTTGCAAACTCAGTGAGTGGTTTTGCTATAAGTCTGAATAGTTTTAGAGATTGTGCTACAGGAATCACAGTTAGGGTTTAAGCATTCAGAAAAAACTGTAAATACAAGCGCGTCCATGCTCACAGGTGTACACACGGGTGCTCACACACACAAACTACACCCTTTTTGGCTCCTACCTCAAAGCACACTGTGCGCTGTCGATATTACGTGCTGCACAATAATGTTTAATATTTAGTATTTACTGTTATAGTCCCATATATCATTGTGATGTTGTTTATATTATTGCTCTCGTTTTCTTCTGCTTGTTTTCGTTTTTCTTTCTCAACAGGTGATCCAGGTGATTGATATATGTATTTTTTTTTTGTATGCTTATTTAGTTGGTTTTTGTTTTTTTGCCCTTTATCCCCGTCCCTCTTCTCTGCTGTTTTTTCCCTCTCTTCCTTTCTCCCTTTTCTTTTCCTCATTCAAGTCTGTCCCGTATCTAGCAAGTGAAAATAAAAAAAATAAATACAATAAAC